CCTCAGTGTCTCTCAAGAAGAGATCAGCTGGGGCACCTGGGTGTCTCAGTTGTTAAGCATCTGCCTTCAGCTCAGGTCATGATCCCAGGGTCCTGGGATCAAGCCTGCTTCTCCCTCTCCCACTGCCCCCTGCTTGTGTTCCCTCTCTCACTTTGTCTCTCTCTGTCAAATAAAGAAAATTTTAAAAAATCTTTAAAAAAAAGTCTCATAAACAAAGATCAATTAAAAAATCTGATCTCATGAACTGTTATAGTTTTCAGTGTTTTAAAAAAATGAGTAGATCTACTACTCACATGAAAAGTTGCCCCTGATTTATTGTGAAGTAAGAAAATAAGTTGCAGAATAATACATGTAGTATAATCACATTCATGTTTAGATGCTCCAAATAGTATATATGCATTGATAGGTACTTAATGCATTTTAAATAATTTGACGTGTTGCAGTAAATTGTTAAAAGCCGTTCTCTCTAAGGATTGGACTTGACTAGGCAGGGCGGGGAAAAGAGTGGGGAGGAATAGAAAGCTTTCCCCATTTTATTTTATACATATTTTTATTGAAAATTTAAGAACAAGCATATATTTTGTAACACTTTTAAAAATGAAAAGTACATTTAAACTCTGCAGAAGCAGTGAAAAATAAAATGTTTAGGTGAGACGAGGTAGCTTCTGACAATCTACCTGCTTAACAGTTTATGACTCCATGAAAACACAGGTAAGTAGAAAGTGGTATTTCTTATAGATACACAGTATTTCATTTACAATCTGGTAAAAGAGAAGAAGAAAAGAGGAAGAGCGAGTAAACCCTAAGGTCAGATGGGAGTTAGCTAGAAGCAGAAGTGGTTGCCATTGATCCTGTTTCTAGAAGAACACAGGAGAACTCAAATTCCTCTTCTTTAGGAGAGCTCTCCATTCATCTAAGAGCAGCTGTGTGGGGCATAACTCTTCTGTTTTCTAGACAAAATACTCCCAGTTCCTCCCAATAAGATCATTTGCCATACTGATCATTCTGTTGTCTTTATTCCATTTGTCCGTGTCCATCTTGAAATGTGCATCCAAAATCAAATACTGCTACCTTTTAACATCCAGTCTTATCAGTGTGGAATAGTCAGAGGAATCCTTTCCTGGGCAGGAGACACTATTTTTTCTTAATCTAGACTAAGATTATTCCTAAACCTTAGCCTTGTATTTCCTCCTAGAAATTACTAGTCAACAGTCTTGCTGTTTTTCTTCATTATTTGTCACTCGGGGCTTCTAGATTGTGTTTGTTTTCTGGCTGTCTTCTGTGTTGAACCCTTTGCCTCCTTTTGAGCTGTAGCATAGTGCTTCTTCTGATACCCTCAACATTTCTATTATCAAAGCTATCCAGCTCATAGGAGTCACATAATTCATTGATATCTGCTTCCAGGAAGGAAGCTAACTTGGCCCAGGCCATGTAGATCATCAGAAGACTTTGCCTTTTGTCACCAGGGCATTGTGCAAACTGGGGAAAAAATAAATAAGAGTGCCCTCTTTGGACAGATGAAGTACAAAAATTCCTCTCCAGGTGGGAGAATGAGAAACGTGTCTCTCTTCCATGGGTGACAAAGCCAGGGGATGTGGCTTGAGTGGAGACTGGATTGAGTCCCATCTTACCAGTATGCAGGATATAAGAATGCAATTGCTTGCGACAGCCTGGCTTGCCACATCACCCGTGTTTCAAAAAAAAAAAAAAAAAAGATTCATAGGCTTTATGGAAGCTGCATTACAAGCACCAGAAATTTCCCAGGTTCTGGTTTCAGGGCTTTTGTGAATATACTTTCCACACCAGTTACTCCTGGCTTAGTTCTTTTTTTTTTTTTTTTTTTAATTAACAGTACTGTTGAAGTATAATCTACATACCATAATATACATCTCATAAAAATCAGTTCAATGATTTTTAATAAATTTATAGCATCATACAGATATCATTACAGTCTAGTTCTAGAACATTTCCCCCACCATAGAAAGTTCTCTGGGGGGCACTTACTATCAGTTCTTGCTCCCACCCCGAGGCAATCACTGGTCTGTTTTCTGTCTTTATAGATTTGCCTTTTCTGGAAACCTCATATAAATGGAACCATATCTTCCTTTAGCTGCTTTGTTCCACTAATCTAATAGGGGTGCAAATTTAATCAGGGTTCATAGATTCCTTTGCTGTGTTCTTCTGCTAATCTGCTAACGGTGCAACACCTGGATATCAGCCCTATCCCCTTCTACTGCTACTACTAACCTTACTCATCCCTTTCTTTCCATTCAAACATGCTCTATTACCTCTCATCTTAGAACATTTTCCCTTGTCCAGCATCTCTCCAGCCACCATCCTATCTCTCTGGGCCATTTCCTCAAGATTGGACTTCATGTACTCTCCCCACTCTCTGCTTTCCTGTGAACTCTTCTTTTAAAAAATCTTTTAAATGTTACTATCTGATACAGATAAAAGAATATTAAAAAGAACATGTAATCTCTATATGTAAACTCTAAAGGTTAGTAATGTAATGAAGATCTACACCTGTCACCCACTCCTTCCACCAGCTTTACACACAGTGGAATTCATGACTCAAAGTATCCAAACTACTTACTCATCGCTATATTTTTTTATCCTCTTTGGTCCATTTCTAATTCCTTTTAATTCCGCTTTTAATATAAGGAGTTTGGGCTAAATAGTCTTTGAAATCCATTACATTGCTAAAATTCCCTCATTACTGTTGAGAGATTAATTTTTTGTTTAAGATGTATTATGGAAGATTTATAGCTTACACTGTTGAATATTACTGTATTTTTTTATGAAGTCTTGGCTAAGAGCATGACATAATTATACCACAATTTCTATAGGAAATTTATTCTACTTTGTATTAATTTGCTTTAGAATGCTGGATTTTTTTCCCTAAAATTCTGAAACTAAAAGCTGAGCTTCCTGTAATGTTCTCCACTAACCCTGTCTTTGCATTGAATTCATTTAACCAGTACAGTTGGCCCCAAGGGAGGTATAGATGTCAATTATTGCTACAACTTAATACTAATGACTACTTAAATATTTAATTAATGCAGTACTTGACACTTAGCAGGAAACTATTTATGTTGGCAAAACCAGGCCTTTGTTTTCATCTTCTATGCCTGGTGTTTAGCGTATCCCTTTTGTAACATAGGTTTGGAATGAGGTGCTATGGTGGTGAAAAAGCACCTCCCTCTCCTACCTCCAGGCAGAAAAGATTACATAGAAAGTGACTCCTGATGGATGTTTGAAATATTAATAATTACATTTGTAGATTTTCCAAGCTACATTTTTTTAATTGAACATTCATTACCTTTTTTGAAGTTTGAAATATTTTTTTATATTTTTCTATTGTGTATTGATGTCATTAAAACAGCTCTTAAAAGCACTCATTTTAAGAAATATGGTAATTTTTTAATGAGTTGCAAGAAGACCAAAAGTGGCTGATCATTTTCCTGGGGCTGGGTCTGACAGGAACCCCACAGGAAAAAGATCATTTTGTCCTGACAAGTACAGGCCAAGGAGAGAAGAGAGCTCAGTTTAAAGCTCAATGTTCATTTGAAAGAGACATTCCAGCCAAGTGGACTCCAAGGCACACGTTCATCACTGGGTTCTGGAAATTCTCATATGTGAGCAGGTCCTGTGACTCTAACATGCACACCTAAGAGTTCCCCTTTAGTCTGAAAATTTCTGGTCTTTAACATCATATGTTGCCAGTATGCTATATTGAACACACATATTCTCATTTTATTCTGAAAATGCCTTATGTTTGTGGCTTTAGCTTCTGTAATTCTAAATTATTTGATCAATTTTTTTGTGCTTTTCCTCCTACCTAAAATTAAAAAGAAAGAAAGAAGCATATCCTCTATTTAGTGGGTAAGTGAAGATTTTTTATTTTACAGACTAAGTCCGCGAAAGGGATGAACTGTTGAACGGGCCTGTGACATGCCTTATAGGTGTGCGTATTTTGAAACACAATCCACTGAGCAGTGGAGTACTGATCACTTTTCTTTTCTTTTTCACTTTTCTTTTTTTGAGATTTTATTTGTTTATTTGAGAGAGAGAGAGAGAGGAGAGCACAAGCATGGTAGGAGCAGAGGGAGAGGGAGAAGCAGGCTCCCTGCTGAGCAAGGAGCCCGATGCGGGACTTGATCCCAGGACCCTGGGATCATGACCTCGGCTGAAGGCAGATACTTACCCGACTGAACCACCCAGGTGCCCCCTCTGGCTCTTCTTTGTACGCTCATGGCTTTAACAAGTTCATTCCAAACCTCACTTAATATACCAACCACCTTTACAAAAATCTTTCTTTAACTTCAGTCTTTGTTTTTAGTCATCACAAATTCTGAAATAACCAGAGTCAAGACCCCGAGGCTTAATTTTATATTTGTCTTAAACCTTAAGCATTGTTGTATTTAGTCAAAAATGATAAGAAAAATTAATGACTTTTTTATCATCATACTAATAAGGGATTTCATTAAGATCTTAACTTCTGTAGATAAAAGATAAAAAACAGTTCTTCATGAACTAAAGAGTATGGTTAAGATCATTATTCATAGTCAAAGATAAGGCTCATTTTATGTTTATAGCACTCTTCTATTCAACATCATTAGTGTGAAATATTTAAGAATTTATTTACTTAATTGAGTTTCTCAGTTGTAGAAGAGAAATCAGTGATGTATTAAATTTTTAGATTTGTTTTAGAAGCATTATGCTTTCAAGTCTTCAAAGTTTTTGTATGCCTGAAAGGTTCCTCTGATGTTTGTGATGCTGCTTGTTTTGCAGCATTATGCAAGATGATGCATCAAATGTCTATTACTTTGTAATGTCAATTATTTTATTTCTATGTTACATTTTTTTTCATTTAAACTATAAAATTTTAACATGAACAAGGAGGTCTCTAATCTGTGTTCTTTTCTAGGGTCATCTGCATATAGTCATGCAAAGCTGATGTTCTGGGTGAATAAGAATTTTTGTGTTTCATTTCACAGGTGGGGAGCATTAAGCGGGAAACGACCTTCACATTTCAACCAGAGGACTTAAAACGTGACTCTAGTAAAAAAATGTCTCATCAACACTTGTTTCCCTTGGCCATGGAGGAAGATGTGAAAACAGCAGACACCAAAAAAGCCAACCGAGCCCTTGACCATGAAAAAGAAAACACTCGCTCCATCTGTCTCCTTGAGCAAAAACGGAAAGTTGTTTCTTCCAATATTGATGTTCCTCCAGCAAGGTAAGGGAACATTAGACTTTCTATGTGTCTGCCCCAGGAAGTTAGTGGAGAGCATCTACAACCTCCACCACCATATCTCTCTAAACCATATAGACTTAGGAAGGGTTTTTTGCCAAGAATATTTCTCTGCTGCTTGTTTGTAATAGAGCAGGTAGCCCTGCTCTTTGGAACTGACTTTGAGGCTGCTCTGGTTGGAAATATTGTAGCTCTAGGAAAGAATGTTTTATTAAATTTTGGAAAATGAATGATAAAGAGCAAAAGAATAAATGTAAAAAAAACCTAGCCACTTAAAGCAGGAATACTCAGATTTTGAGCAGAGGTTGGAGAGCTATGGCAGTAGGCCAGATTCAGCCCCGGCATGTTTTTGTATAACCTGTGAGGTAAGAGTGGTTTTACATTTTTAAAGGGTTAAAAAAAATGAAGAACATGTGACATAGATCATAGGTGGCCTGCAAAGCCTAAAATATTTATATATGACTCATTACAGAAAAAGTTTGGTGATCCCTGGTTTATATCATGATAATTCTTTTAAGACGGATCTACCTTAGAACCGGGCCAAGAGGGTTTATGGAAATATCAAAAGGCTTTTATCACCTTATAATTTACTTAAACTACATCCAATAGCATTAAATCAAAGGACAATATTATGGCAGAATGACAATGGAATCAGAGTGGAATGGAACATACTAGACCTTTTACTTATTTTCTTGCTTGTCATTTATTTCACCTAGAAAGTAAGTTCCATGTTGGCCAGGATTTTAGTCCATCTTGTTCATGCTGTATCCGTAGCACTAGAATAATGCTTAATTATGTGCTAGGAGCTCCATAAATATTTGTTGGATGAAGAAAAGAAAGAAAATGCTATAGCATGAAAGCTTGCTTATTTTTAGTATGTATAACATATTTTGTTACCAAAGCCATTTATAATGAAATTTCGTAAGCAATTTTTTGAGACGTACTCTATTCGTTTGAATGGCTTCAGACAGCTAACTAGGAGAATAGTATCGTTGGGAAAGGAATAAATGTTTCTTTTCTACCTATTCACTTTTTATAATTAGAATTTCATTGCTTACTATATTAAATAAAAAATATCTCTTCTAGAAAATCACATATCTTTCTATTCTGCTACCAAATTTGTCATACTTTCTAAAATTATAGGTCTCCTTGTTTTTCTTAACCTTCAGTTGAAAATTTTCATATATTCATTACTTCTAACTGCTTAGAATTATTTGCTTTCCTAATTTTTTCATATAAAGCACATGTTAAATTCTTTAGGATTAGTTCCTTTAACTGGGGGCTCATCATGAAATGTTTTATCATGCCCTAAAACTGGTAGGTTCTTCAATTCATATCTGTTATTTGGTTGACTCATAGGAAAAGTGACGTTAATTTGAAATGTGAAGAGCTATGGTTTTATTTTCTTCCTAAGGTTGTAGTGCAAAAATTAGACTTCCCGATGTCAGATACTTCAGTGACAACTTGCAGTTCGACAGGATTTACTCTACCTAAAATTTCCACTAGAGCATTTTATATGTTAAAAGACCTGGAATTAATCATTTTAAATTACCATAGATTGTTTTAGATATATCTTTCGTCTTTAATCTCACCCCACTTGCAATAGGTTCTGGGGAAAATAATGAAAAGGAAAGGAAGAAAAATGTTTTCTGCTTTTTCTGCCTCTGGTATGTGGAATATTTTTTCCACCTTCTCCAGTTCACTAAGTGTGCTTAAAAGTTATGAGTCAAGCCAGTGTTATTGTGGTGTTCTTAAAGAGTATAGGGAAGTTAATTAGATTTTAAATCCATTAATGTACAGCAAAAATTCCTCAATGACAAGGTATAATTTAGACATATTCATCTATTATGGGAAATACTAGTTAAAGCTTCATTGTTTGAGATTTCCACTGATACACTTGTTTTCATTGCTATAGTAAGAATTTAATCATCACAAATATGCCAACAGCTGGTGAAATAAATTGCTCTTCTTCTTAATGACAATGAAGGAATCAGAAATTGTGGGGTCTAATTATCTAACTCTCAATTCTTTTAGTTCTATTTCCATTTCCTGTCATGGAAATATTTTGTAAATGTCAACTTTCCACTATCATCTAAGTGGATCAATATTTTGTTTTAAAGAAACTCTTTTACCTGACATGGTAGGAAGATACAGGACTTTTTGTTCTGGAGAAACATAATTCTGTCTGTTGGCAGTGTATGAATAATGAAGTTTGAATATGTCTACAGTAGGGTTAAGTTTATTGGTAGAAGGAAATCTATATCTTATATAATATACAGTATATATATGCATTATATATATATATATATATATATATATAATCTATGGCTCTAGGCACATGACTATTGCAACTTATTCTCCTAAATCCAGATGTTATGTATTGGACAGTTCGTAGAAAGGCAAGATAACCATTTTTGACCAATAGAGTATCACTGTTAGAGTTTCTCAACAGTTTAAAATAAATTCTTTATAATCTTTCTCACTTTATCTTTTGCTTATTCCCACTATAGCTAAGAAGATTTTTGTTGATGTTTGCTTTCTATATTTTGTAAAATGGAACTTGAAGTTTATTTTCTATGGTTTATATAATGAAGATAATAGATATATTTTATGTTTTTTCATATCCCTAGAAGGGTCTAGGAGCTACCCTCCCCATCTTTATACTTGACTGTGATTGAGCATTTCCTGCTTCCATTCAGTAGATTATTTATTGAGTACTTGCTACAAATCCAGTACTCAGTAAAAAAAAAAATGAATGAAATGGGATGCCAACCCTCTAGGAGCTTACAGTTAAATCATAGAAACAGACACCTAAGTAGCTAATTTCAAGTAACAGTTCCTAACTTGCTTCCTTCTTATTAGAACTGGATGAATTTGTACATAAAGAAGACTCTCTTAATATTAGGAAAGCTATTAATTTGATACAACTATTCAAAAGCCTAATTTTTTTTGTTCGTCTCCTTTTCAAGGTGGGGATGAATGGAATGGGGAAGGAGGGACTCTGTATCTGAGATCTACTTTACAAAATTCCTGTTTGTTTCCCCATTTTCTGAGGACCCATTTAAAAGTTGCTAGTTTCAGGGAAATATAAATTTAAATATTCATCCCGATGTGTCAGACTGGGTCTTCCGAGAAGCAAATGCCAAGGCAGGATTAAATGCAGGCATTTTATTGGAACAAATACCTGTGAAAGAAAAGGGGTGGGGCAAGGGGCAGGGAAGGAGGGAGGTGCAAGTGCGACTCTGGTGCAGGTCTGAGCCCAGTGAGGGAGAGAGCCAGGGAAGGTTGGGCGGGAGTGTCCTAGACTGCCTGGCAAAGCCGTCAGGAGGCCTGCGTTATGTAAATGCAGTAGGGTCCGCTTACCTGTGGGATGTTGCTTGATCAATTTTAGGAAGGAAAAGTCTTTTCTTTTGGGGGGGTCATAAAGATGGGAGTGAGTGCATTATAGAGTTGAGGTACTCAGAGTATTCCAAGTTCTTCAATGGAGAAAACTAAGCAGAGAGGGCAAGAGTGTGTGTGAGAGAAGGGCGCCTGGGTGGCTCAGTGGCTTAAGTATATGCCTTTGGCTCAGGTCATGCTCCCAGGGTTCTGGGATCTAGCCCCGCATTGGGCTCCCTACTCATGGGGGAGCCTGCTTCTAATCCTCTCCCTCTGCCGCTCCCCCTGCTTGTGCTCTCTCTCTCTCTCTCTCTGTCTCTGTCAAATAAATAAACAAAAATCTTTAATTAAAACAAAGTGTGTGAGAGAGCACGTGAATGAACAGTGTTTCTTTGAACTAAAGATTTATCATTAACAGAAAAAAAATTCTTTGCAACTTGAAGGATTATTGGGGAGCAATAGTTTGGGGTCGGGGGTTACCAGGAGTGTCAGTGCTAACTGGGGACAACAGTCTCTAAAGGAATCATCTCTCTCTGAAGTTTTCATCACTTATTCACTTAGTAATGCCTGGTTATAAAAGACAACAGCCCCCTCCAAAAGAGATTGTGAATGGAGAGAGAGGAGTTACTAATTATAGATATGTCATCTTAAGTATTTTTTGATATCTAGAGAAAAATACTAGCTGTCTTGATTTCTATGGAGAGTTGAGAAAAATGAACTTTAAGAGCATAAAGACAAAGGGGTGTGAGCTCTTGAAGAATCCATCCAGAAAGGAATTCCAATTCTGTAGTTTGGCTCAAGAAATGAGTAAGAGGTCAAAGGTCAGTAAGTAAGACAAATGCCAGTCAGAGGTTTTTTGTGGGCAGAGCTCAGTGATTCATTAGCCAAGACAGTGATTTTAGCCTGATTCGAAAAAGATGATGAACCTGGGCGCAGATAATAAATAAACCATGCCCAGATTAGTGGTGGAAATCTGGAGAGAAAGAAAGAAAGAGTTGAAATCCAGAATAGGGAACTTACAGATTAGCCAGGGATGTGAGGCATAAAAGTAGCTGGAAGGAATTTTTCTGTTCTTGGAATGTGTGCCAAGCTTTTGGAGTAACATGAGACTTCTGGTGAATTGGCTTGCTTGAATGAGTTGCTAACACCAAATTCTTACACAGTGCAAGAAGAGTTTGTTTGAGTGTTTGAACTGACCCAGAGGGTAACTAGGCATGGTGGTAAAATCTGTGAGTCTCAGAAAAGAGGACATGAAGTACGTGTTGGAGGAGAAACTTCCACCCATGTTAATTCTGCCTGTTGTGGAGAGTTGCTGGGGGTGCCACTGGCTGACTGCCTTATACGGTTCATGAGGAGACTGCTCTCATATTTCTATATATTTTAAAGATTGTATGTAGTATTTCTTGGTGTATATTAATTGAAATCTGCTGCTTTTAAAGTAAACAGTTTTGTAAAATCTGATTTTATAGTAAACAAGGTAGACGTTTGCCAAAAGAGAAAGAAGGAGAAACAAGTACGGGATACTCATGTCAGAACTGAGAAATTGTAAGAGTTGTAAATTGTGCGAGAGTATAAATGATGGTAATAAAAATAAAGGTTTTTGGTCG